AGCAAAGAAAACGATCAACAACATGAAAGACAATATAAGGAATGGGAGAAAATATTTGCAAACCATATATCTGATGAATTAATATCTGAAAAAATGTAAGGAACTCATATAACTTAATAGCAAAATAATTTTAACCCAATTAAAAAATGGGCAAAGGGCCTGAATAAACATTTTCCCAAAGAAGACATACAGATGGCCAACATGTACATGAAAAAGTGGTCAATATCACTAATCATCAGGAAAATGCAAATCAAAACCACAATGAAATACCTCACAAATGTTAGAATGGCTATTATTAAAAAGACAAAAGATAGCAAGTGTTGGTGAGGGTGCGGAGAAAAGGAAATCCTTGTGCACTGTTGGTGGAAATGTAAATTGGTACAGCTATTATGGAAAACAGTGTGGAGGTTCCTCAATAAATTAAAAATAGAATTACCATATGATGAAAAATTTCAAATTTTGAAAACTGATCATGAGCCAATCCAAATTTATTGTTAAGATGAATGAAATAAGAACACTTGATTGAGTGGGCTTTTATTTATATCTGAATCTAGTTATTACCTGTAAAAATAATTAATATAGCATAGCACCAAAAATCTAAATTCTTAAAAATAAGTACCAAAGCACTTGCAGGGTGTTCTTACTATTTTGCAACCCAAAGCCTCTACCTACTAGTTTTCTTTCAGTCAATTAATTTTCTAGGTGATTTTACCACATATATCTAAAGGTTGATGAATAATAGAGAATTATAATATTTTGTCAGGGTAAATGAATACTGCTTAAAGTTTATATTTTGTGTAGAATAGGAAGTTAAGGGAAAAATATGACTTTAAAATTTAACCAACTTTGAATCTCATTCTAAGATAAGTTAGCCCTCAGTGGGTTAGTATTTGTTCTGTTGGTTAACTTCTCTTGCTTAGTATTTGGCCTGGCTTTTATACCTTTCTAATTTTTTTTACTAATTAGGCCCCTCAAGACCCACTGAAGTTTTATAAGAAGATTTACTTTTGCCACAGTTGCCAGCTGTATTTGCCTTCTACAGCGTTTGCTGTATCCGCGACTTCACACCGCATATACCGGTGTCGTCACTGCGTTAATCTTGACAATGAGACTCGACAGCGAGAATCATTTTTGAAGTACAAATGTTTACTTCAACGGCTCTACTATTCAGAAACTGATTATGAAGATGACTCTAAAATTGCTTTTCTGATGCAGGTATGATCAGTCAGGGTTGCCAATCAAGGATGAAATTTGTCCGCTGATTTTACAAAAAAGATTCCTGCTTTCCTACTCAAATCTTTTAAAATAATGGTTCTTTTTTCTATGCTTATACTTTGTGAAGCTTGCCCCTCTGGCAATTCTAGGTTTATCTATGCAGACCTTGTGGTAAAAAGTCACTTCAAAAATTTTAGCTAATGTGGTTTAAATAAAAAAAGTTTTTAAATAATTATTTCATTCCCCCCCTTTTCCCTTTTCTCATTAAAACAACAGTCTTTTTAATAACATTACGTGAATTGCTCATTCTTTATTAAATTTCAATCTCCTCATTTGTAAAATGGGAATAAAATGACCGACAATAACCCTGAGGATAAGATGATACTTACTAATAAATTTTGAAAAAAAACAAATACCATATAAATGTAAGGTAAAATTAGCATACTGGAAGAAATATCTACAGCTTACTCCAGGTTAAAGATGCGGTCATGACTGTGAGACTGGTAAGGTAGTTTGGGCAGAATGAACAGAGACTTGGTGAAAACTAAGGAGCTAAGTGCCACTGAAAACCTCATGAATGTTTCTCTTTGAAAAATGTACTCAATATAATTTAATTATTTCAAGTAATATAATAATCTTAAAGAAATGTTATGTTTATAAGAAAACATTATTTTTCAAACTTGTTTTGACATACAGCTACAAGATATTCAGTACCTGACAGAGAACATCTGGGCATCCCAGTCAGTCCTCAGTGCCTGGACCAATCTCAATGATCTGGTCATGGTCAGGTGGGATAAATCCTTGGAGTGGTCCCCCTGGAACTGCATTCTTCTCACCAAAGATGAAGCTGCTGTTCATCTCAAGCTAACAAGTATTGAAGAGGTAAGAAAGTGAAACTTTATCTGGGAAATTAATCATTGGAATTATTAGAGATAACTTGACTACCTTAGAGATAACTTGACTACCTTTTAATACATTCCATGCATAATTTAAATTCTTCCATTGGATTAACAGAGAATCCATGGATGACAGTAACAAGGTATGTGGATAGTATGTATGGTGGAGATTAAAATTAAAAGGAAGCTAAGGCACATAATAGGTAAAGGTAAGAGATCTGAAGGTCTTCCATGTACCTAAAACATGACACCACTCTCTCCTTTTTTTTTTTTTTTTAAAGATTTTACTTATTTATTTTTTTCCCCCCAAAGCCCCAGTAGATTGTTGTATGTCATAGCTGCACATCCTTCTAGTTGCTGTATGTGGGACGCGGCCCCAGCATGGTCAGAGAAGCGGTGCGTCGGTGTGCGCCCGGGATCCGAACCCAGGCCGCCAGCAGCGGAGCGCGCGCACTTAACCGCTAAGCCACGGGGCTGGCCACTCTCTCCTAATAATAGCAAGTTCAAGCATGTTAGTTCCACAGTACGTTCCATGAGGGGAGGGATTTTGTTTAGCTTATTCATGTCTATATCTCTAATACCTACAACATTTCCTGCACAGACTAGGGGTTTAACACGTACTTGTTGAATGAATAAATGTATATTACTGCCAGATAGGTATTTTGGAACCTAGAATCTGCCCTTTGATTAATTATCATGAGTCTGCCTAATAACACACGAAATTCTCAAATAAATTTTGTGCTCTAAATGGTAATCATACTGATGGGATATATTTCTGAGGCTCCATTTCTCATTTGCTTCCAAATAACTAGGAGTGGGGAAAAAACTGCAAAAATTAAATACCATTTAATTTCAGTAACTTACAAGATGCAATCTGTAAAACATTTTTTTGTGTGTGTGAGGAAGATTAGCCCTGAGCTAACATCCGATGCCAACCAATCCTTCTCTTTTTGCTGAGGAAGATTGGCCCTGGACTAACATCCGTGCTCACCTTCCTCTATTTTATGTGGGACACTGCCACAGCATGGCTTGACAAGTGGTGTGTTGGTCCACACCTGGGTCTGAACCTGTGAACCCCGGGCCACCGAAGCGGGGCGTGCACACTTAACTGCTACACCACCGGGCTGGCCCCTGTAAAACATTTTGATGAACAGAATTGGGGGGTCCCTGGTGGGTTCCCAGAGACCTCCATTTACGCTAAGCAAGCCCAGGATCCCGAGAGCTGATACTGATTCTCTGTCTTCTATTGATTAAATTGCTGTACCTTTAATTCCATGCAAGATGTCAGTTAAGAGAAAATAAAGAAATGGCTTCAAATATAATAGTCTTTTCGAATAGTGCTATTCCCTGCCTGTGTTTTTATTGGGGAGGGAGAAGGTGTAAAGTGGAGAAACTAGTTAAATTTTTAGCTTTTTTTGAACAATTTTCCAGTAGAAGCCAGGCTAAGAAAAATTCCACTCTAGGGATTGCAAGAAAGGGCAGCAAGAAATTGAAGCTGTGTTAAATATTATATTTAGTAAACTAAGCTGCCTCATAAATATTTCATCACTGGAAGCCTAGCCAATACTAACAATATCATTTCGTCTAGGACCCATAGTGGGACTGAAGTTCATTCCCAAAGCTGATATTCCACTGCTTCTTCAATTAATCCATACAACTCCCTTTGTGTATTTCATCAGATTGCTGCAGTATCAAATTAAATGTTCTATGGGGCCGGCCCGTGGCTTAGC